CTGGAAGCTCAAGTGTCACCGAGCCTGGAGTACGCCGGATGGTAGTACCAAGAGAGACAACCTCAACAAGATGGAAGAGGAAACCAGACTCCTGAAAGCCCTCCTCTGGCCTCCAGGAGCTCGCTGTAGTATCCACTCTCACGACCCTCACAAAGAGCATAATACCAAAAGTAGAGGGCAATAGAGGATGACACCCAAAAGCTGACCTCTGACCTCTATACATGCATGTGTACCCCCACACACACACATTAGCGTGCACACACCACACACACATGAGAGTGGAAAAGCAGCACAGCCTCTTGTGCACCCCACTCATAAATCGCTTCACGAGTGTGTACATCACAAGGGCTTAAGCAAGGCCCGAAGCCATCAACGATGTCTCCTGGTGTTACCTACGTGCCAGGCTGATGGAAATGGAGATTGTAAGCTCTTCTGCGGTAGCTCATAGGAAACACATGATCTAGAGAGGTTAGAAAAAGACCAGCAAGTCAGACTGGTCTCGGGATCCACCGAGACCAGCCTGGCTTACTACAGCCACGGCAATGGCTGATATTTCTCAGAAAGCCTCTCCCTGGAAGGTGTCCACTTCATCCAAAACACTTGGGGACCTTGCTTGGCAGTCATGTAACTGTGAGCAATTTGGGCACCAATGAGGCCACCAAACCCTCAGCAGGGATATCTCTGAGTTCACCATGATGCTGACAAGAGTGAGCTCTTAGAGGTCATTCTGCACCTCCCACTGTTACACGAAGACTAGGATGTCCCCTCTGAGTCTGTATGCTTCCAGCAGCCCTTGGGGCAGGCCTGCTCTGTTGTCATCCAAGAGGGTGGTCAGCAAAACCAGCACATCCGGTCTCTTCTAAAAATCTCGTCGTCTTGGCCTACCAACTCTGCTCTGTTTTCTCCACTGACTTTGACCCCCCACCCCTCAGGTTGTGTATCTTGTTAGAATACAATGTTTCCAGTAGCTTTGAAAAAAATACTACAAACACATACACACACAAATAGACATCCACCATCAAGCCAGAAGTGGTGGTCATACGTGTAGTAGCCGCAGGAAAATCAGGAGTTCAAGATCACCTTTAGCTACACAGTAAGTTTCAGGCCAGCCCGGGCTATATGAAGTCCTGTCTCAACTCTTCCCGTCCTCTGCCCACCTTCCCCCCAAAAGCCATGCACCACCTTGGTGTGACCGGTGCCATAGCTGCGAGACACCTGAGGAAGAAATCTACTCTCCCAGGGTAACTCAGAGGCAGTGTGGCTGAAGTGTCACCTGAGCCAGATCAGGACACTTCAGATGGAGGGACAAACCTGGACGAAGATAGAAAGGAAAGGTGTTTAGGTTGTGAGGAGCGGCGGGAGACAGCAGTCTAACCAAGGACGGCTGGATTTCATGTGTTCCAGAGGGAGGTCACTCGGGTACTGATGAGGAGAGAGCTTGTAGCATTAGGAAGAGGACAGACAAGGATGTGTGGTGGACTTTGTCCAGGAGCGTGAGAACAACCCTGAAAGAGCATCAGGGACCTCAGGGAGGGAGGTTTGTTTGGACATGCGGAGTCTGAGATGCTCCCGAGCACAGCAGTGGAAATTCCAGTTAGGTCTGCGTTTAGAAAGCTCTGGCCTGAGATGAGACAAGAGTGAGCTGCTGATGGAGAAGCCTTGGAAGCCAGGGTAAGCAAGTGAGGTGTGCGATCCGCAGGCAGGGAAGACACAGGGAATGTCTTCAGTAGGTATGTTTTTGAGACAGGATCTTATGTGTGCGAGGCTGACCTTGGTCTTCCTATGTACCTGAAGATGACATTGAATTTCTGATCCTCTTGTCTCTGCCTCCCCAGTGCAAGGAATACAGACTTATGCTATACCATGGTGTGTGGGGTGTGTGGGGGTGTGTGCGTGTGCTGGGAATCAAACTCAGGCCTTGTCAGGTAAGTGTTCCACCACTGAGCCACATCACCAACCTTAGTATGGTTGGTTGATAGGAATAGGAATAGAATGATGGACTCTCAGTTATGATAAGCAAGGGTCCTAACAGTAAACCACACAATCATTTTCACCCTTCCCATTTTTTAAAAAAATATTTCTATTTTAAGTGCATTGGTTTTGCCTGCATGTGTGTCTGTGTAAGGCTATCAGATCCCCTGAAACTGGAGTCACAATTGTGAGCTGCCATGTTGGTGCTGGGAATTCAGCCTGGGCCAGTGCTGTTAACTGCTGAGCCATCTCTCAAGTTCCTCATTTAAAAAAAAAAATATGTAGCCCTAATTGTCCTGAAACTCACTCTGTAGGCCAGGCTGGCTTCCCTGGACCTCAGAGATCCACCTGCTTCTGCCTCCCAAGTTCTAGGATTAAAGGCATATGCCACCACCACACAGCTCCTTCTTAATTTTTGCTTTTTACACTTTTGATTTCATGTCTGTGTGTATGCACATGTGTACCATATACATACAGGAATCTGGAGTTCAGAAGAGGCGTGGCCCCCTGAAACTGTGGTTACAGACGGTTGCCAGTGCTGGAAACCAAGGCCAGGTCCTCTGTAAGAGCGGCAAGTGCTCTTAAGCACTGAGCCATTTCTCTAGATCCTGCTTTGTTTTGTTTTTGAAAACAGGGTCTCAGGCCTCCTGTAGTCCAGATTGGCCTTGAACTTAATATGCAACCAAGAATGACCTTGAACTCTGATTCTCCAGCTCCCACATTTCAAGTGTTAGGATTCCAGCAGGAGAACCATACACAGTGCCCTTTCCAAAGATTTGTTTATTAATTATGTATATAGTGCTTGTCTGCCTGCATGCCTGTACTTCAGAAGAGGGCATCAGATCCTATTATAGATGGTTGTGAGCAGTCATGTAGTTGCTGGGAACTGAACTCAGGACCTCTGAAAGAGCAACCAGTGCTCTCAACCACTGAGCTGTATTTCCAGCTCCCACATGTAGCACAAATTCTATTTGGTATTAATAATAAAAACCCAGAGTCAGATGTAGGGGTTAATGCTGAAGACCGGAGAAGCAGCAGCAGCCTCGAGAGACGTTTTACCGCTACCAATGTTCAGACTGAAGGGCCGGTCCTGCCCTCAGACTGCATCTTCAGACTGCATCTGTCTTCACCAAACCACAGACTGCACTGAGCTCCTCTCTCCGCCCAGCCATATCACTTCTCTCTCCACCTCCCTAGTGCTGTGACTGAAGGTGTATGATCCCAAATGCTGGGATCACCCTCGTGTGGTTCTGTTTCTCTTTTGGACAGATTCAATCTTGTGTTGTCCGGGGTGACCTTGAACTAATAGCAATCCCTCTGCCTCTGTCTCCCAAGTCCTGGAATTAAAAGCATGTACCACCATTGCCTGGCTTCTAGTGATTTAGCTCTGCACTCTGATCTTCAGGCAAGTTTTATTTGTTAAAACACAAACAAAATACTGCTATACCCACAGTTCTCTTCTTATTTAAAAGCAGATAATTTTAAAAATTCTATTCAATTTTTTTACATTTTGACATCTTTGAAGTCAGAGAGAATTTTAGCGACAGGAAAGCCATAGCTTAATTGAGAGATGGTTTTTCTCTTAACACACAGTAATAGTATATAACTGATGGCTTCATAAATTTGTTAAGACTTTGTTTTCATTTTATGTGTATGAATGTTTTTCCAGCATGTACGTATGTGTACCATATGAGTTTCGGTGTCCACAGAGGCCATAAGAAGGTACTGGACCCCCTATTACTGGAGTTGTAGACAGCTGCTGCTGCCATGTGGATGCTGGGAACAGAACCTGGGTCCTCTGCGAGAGCTCTTCACAGCTGAGCCATCTCTCGTCCCTGATATCACACAACTAAGGGAATACAATAGTGCTTAGATTAAATAGATGTTGCAGTCGAAACAAATCCATACAAAATGCTGCTGAAACTGGCGGCATCTGCCTCTAATCCCAACTACACAACAAGGTTGTGTCAAAAGCAACAGAAAAGGAAAAGGCACAGGGAGTGGAAATAAGTCGTCAAGGCCCAGTCAGGGCAGACTGAGAATTTGAAGTCAAGCAGCCCGACTCCAAAACCCAACTTCATCACATGCTTGAGAAACACGGAGCTTTGGGAGGACCCGCGTGGCCACTGAGAATGACCTGGGTCCAGGAGGAACCTTCACAACAGATGGAGCATGCAGGAGACTAAGGTCCGCTGGGCTGGAGACCACCACAGGGGAAGGGGGCAGACAGGATAGATCCTGGAACAGTGGGTGGTACTGTGGATCTGAGAACGGAACTGTAAAATGTTGATCCCAGAAATGGAGGCTGAGTAGAGCAGGGGACATGGCAGCTGTCATCCTGAGAACTGAACCTCCCCTGAGGTAAGGACGTCCTGGGGCTTCTCATACTTTCTTTGGTAGTGATGCTGCCTGGTACCTGGTAGGCATTCACTGTTGTCCAAATAATGGATGAGTTTCCCTATGATCTTGGACAAGTCTGTGCTTTTATATGACCTATGGCTCTCATATTTTCATGTATAGGATGAAAGGATTGTCTAGAATGTGTAAAACAAACAGGGCCGGATGGCGGTGGTGCATTTCTATAATCTCAGCCCTTAGGAGGTAGAGGCAGGAAGATCAGAGGCTCAAGGTCATCCTCAGCATCATAGTGAGTTGGAGGCCAAGTTAAGCTGGCATACCCTGTCTCAAAAGCAAAAGCAAAAGGCAGCAGAGATGGCTCAGCAGGTCAAGGAGCTTGTCATCAAGGCTAATGATCTGAGTTCAGCCCCTGGGACCCTCGTGGTAGACCGGCACCCGGTTTTCTCCACTATAAATTGTTGACATTAGGACAGGATTTTCCTGTGTGTCCTAGGATGTTTAGTAGCCGCCTAAGTCTCCACCCAGTAGATGCCAGGAATACATCCCCAATCAAAACAGAACTGTTTCCAGACATTACTAAATATCTGAGGGGAGGGGACCCCTAATTGGAATTCCTAAGAATCTCCATTCTCTTGCCTGCCCAAGTTGCAGAGAGAGGCCAGGCACGGTCGGAAGGCATGGCACACCAAATTTAGTTGGGCCCAGCAGGAGTGAAGGCCAGGCCTGCACAGGATTAACACAATGGAGGGACTGCATGCCAGCGGGCTGACTGATGTGGTCTCACCCCAGAGGGAGAGAGTTTTCCAGAACTCTCATTCCCGGATTTGTGATCAGTCATTGGAGAGCCTAGAGCAGCATCTACAGGCCAACAGTCCCCCGCTTTCCGGGAATGGACAGAGGGCTGTGGGAGTGGTGGGGAGGGATTCTTTCCTTCTGTAGATAATTTCCTGGCATCATCCTCTGCTCTCTGATTGGTGAAGTGAAGAGGAGGAGGAACTTTGCAGCTGTGGGTGCCTGGGTTCCTGGAGGCATCTGACACTAATATTGACTACAAAGGTCTGAATGTTAGGGTCTGAGGCTTTGGGGCTGGGTCTAAGAGGTGGCTTGTTCCCACCCTAGTGATGTAGAACTCCTTAGAGCTGGGGCTGGGAAAGCTGCCAGCATCTTCACAAGTCTTTCGCTTGCAGGTGGCGGTACCTGAAAGAAGAGAGAGGATGGGAGAAGCAGAAGGAAACAGGGAAGGGGCTTGGGAGGAAGGAGGAATGGACGGTTTCCGGCATTCTTCGCGTTATCCCGTAACTCACTCCACGTGGAGGCTCACAGCACCCAAAAGGAGGACAATTTCAAAGATCGACAAGAGCAGAATCTTAGCATCCCACAGATCGTGACTTCCTGCAAGGAACCCAGGATGCCGTGGATGCTCCCGCGGATCACACCAGGGCACCTAAGGGGTCTGAGGAGGAGGGTAAGGAGTAAGAACCTGGGAAGCAGCGCTTTCGGGGCCAACAAGACACCTCCTTGCCCTCGCAGGTGGAGCAATTGTACAAGATGGTGCTGCCCCCTGCAGGAGACAATAGGAGCAGCGCTGGTGAGCGAATCCAGGGCCTCCACCCTTCCAGCCACCCAACTTCTTCAGGCTTATTACCCTTTTACTCACAGCAGACAGGGGCACAGAGAGCTGAAATGACAGACAAAGAGGGGTGGCTGACCTATTCGATCACACTTCACTTGGCTACAAATCCTAGGTACCCCCTTGATGCCCTCCCCCTTGTCAATACCTTCCCTGGTGTACTGGGGGATCTTGGTCTTCAGAAGCCATTGCCAATACGAAGGAAGCGAGGAAATGGATCCTTTTATCTCTGGAGAGGCACAGCACGGCTATACTGTCCTAGGGCTTCAGCGGTGCTGCCTTCCACACCCGCTTCCCTGATAAGCCCGTCTTTACCTGCCCCACCCCCATCCTTCTTGGGTCTTCCTAGGTCCCAACCCCGACCTCACCCATGACCCTCAGGACTCTGTGAGTCTTCTCCGTGATTTTGTTCATGGTCACCTCATCTGTGGAGATGGGCAAGAATGAGCTATTCTCTCCGTAGGCTCTGGAGTCTTTGTTTTTCTATTTCCTAGGACACAGAGTTCTTCCAAAGGGAGAAGCCAGTGTGTCCAGAGCGGGCTATGGGCTGTGGCATTGATTGAAGGACACAGCTAGCAACTCACGGGACACCCCTTTAGGGTAAACGGGTGGCTGTCGCAAGGCTAACTTGTGTCTTATATTACCTAACGCAAAGGCTGAGAAATCCGGGGAAGCCCATTCCTTCCAAGGCGTCTCCATCTGGCTACTGAGCTGAGCCAGGCGGCTTGGCAAGGCATGAGCTGGGAGGCGACAAAAGATACAAGCCTTGGCAACGGCCAGGAAAACCCCAAGTAGTGCCAGCACCCACATGAGGCCTGCTGGAGGATGGGTGGGAACTGGACCCCCTTGGACCAGAGAAGACCCAGAATGTTCTGAGGTTCTAGACTGATCTAGAACAATGCCATTGTTTCACCCCTTGGCTCCGGCAAAGCTGCCCCTGGGTCCCCAGAACCCGAGGCTGAAAGACATCTCCAGTAGGAGATAAAAGGAGACAACAGGGTTTTCTGTTGCAAGGGGACAGTGGCCTTGACACAACTGTGGTTCTGAAAGCAATTTTATTTCTCTTCTTTTAAGTCACAGTGATAGATGAATCCCAGCGAAGAAGATGCGTGTGTGCCCCATCCACTCAGGAACTCAGAAATGCCAGCCCTTTCCATATTCTCTCCATTCTCCACCTCTTTGTCTCCTGTCTGCCCAGGACAGCCTTAGGCCTTACCCGGCTATTTCCTAGCAACAGACTCATGGTTGTCTCAGCAACCAAGAGCTCCCGGAGGTCTCAGAGGCCCAGTTAAGCCCAGTGGCTTTTACCTCTCATAGGGAGGGCCCAGTGAGTCAAACTCAAACGAGCCCCTCCTGCCTACGTGGTGGTGTGGGCATAAACACACACGCAAACACACACACACCCTATGATTAAACTAAATCTCAATCTGCTCTCACACATACCACAGATATACCTGAGCCCGAAGAGTTGCTAAGCAACCCCAAACAGGCCTGGACATGCCAAGATCACAGAAGGACCATCACATAAACGCAGGAGTCGGCATCACTGATGGGAACCAAGATGCCAAGGGCCCAAGCATCAGTCAGATACGTTGGCTGTCACACACACACATACATGAAAGAAGCCCAGGGTACGAAAAAATACCACCATCTTTACCCATGTTCAGCCCCACTTACACAGAGCATCCTCTAAAACACTCGGAATTCCAGAAGGGCGCTCAGCCCCCGTGCTGACAGGGATTTTCCTAGCCCCCTTTGTCAACCTAGGATGAAGTTTCTATTTTCAGTCTCCCACAGGAGGTGGCTTGGGACACAGTAAAGAAATCTCCCAGACGTCCTAGCCTCTTAATGGTCACGGTAGGTTAAGTGCCCAGTTCCAGGAGGGGAAGTCACAGTCTAGCCGATAGACCATATTTGAGAGTTCAAAGTATGTCTTTCCACCTAGTGCTCAAACCTCCAGAGTGCTGCTAAGTGTAGCCTGGGCAAAGAGGTGCTTCTTACTTTTCCACACCCCTGAATACAGAGGACCCATCCTCAAGCAAGAACAGGCTCGAGAATCCGCGGATGCTTTCCCAGGATAAGCCCCAGCGTAGATCTTCTGGAGCACTCCTGAGTCCTGGGAGTTGGAGCAGCTCGATTTGGGAATCCCAGCCAGGTGTGGTGGGATCCCTGATTCTCATAGCTCCTACCCCAGGACTTAGAAAGAGGCTTCGGGAGAGCCATCAGCCCCTTGTCTAACGCATTCCTCTCCCTCTCCGCAGTCAAGTGAAGGGTAGCATTCTCAGTGGCGGACAAAGCGTAAAGATCTAGAGTTCAGCAGGTCTTCAGGATCTGGGAAGACAGAGTCCAGGCGGAAGCCATGTTCCAGAGCCACCCGCAGCACCTCCTCCAGGAAAGCAGGCGTGTTCGCCACCTCCCGTCGATTTTCTGGCTCCCCAGTCCACAGTGGTTGCAGCCCCAATCTTTCATACTCCACTTCAGGGAGTTCCCGGGGGCGGGAGGCCCACTCTAGACGAAAATGTGGACCACTCTCTACTCTGTCCCCACTGGCCACACCAAATCGGTTGCGCATGGCACCCAAACACTCAGGGTCAGTACAGAAGAGGTTGGCTCGGAAGGTGTCCACCTGGACAGAGCTCAGCTCATAGTGGTGTGGGCCCCTACGAGCAGAGAAGTGCACCAGACGAGGGCTGACATCTACGTCTGCATGGAGCAGGGCAGCTCTGGGTGCTGGGGTACCACGAGAAGCTTCCAATTCCCGCAGGGCATCGAGGAGGGGCCGGATCTGGTAGAAGTCAGCCTCTGCCTTAAGAAGTGCAGTTTCTCCATACCCACGGGGCAGGTCCAGACGTCCCAGTCGCAGGAAATTGAGGATGTGCCGGAAAGCCTTGCCATCTCTGTCGATGAAGTAATGGCCATCTCCTTGTGGGTTGAGACTGGCTGGCATAAGGGTGTCAGCCCTAAACATGGCCCCCAGCATGGAGTCTGGGAAGCGTGTCAGGGTCTCCAATGTAGTGGAATATAGTGTTCCCCCCACATTTAGGGTCACAGGGCCCCCAAAAGAAGGGGGTGAAGAAGACACAGGAGGGGGGGAAATTTTGGGGACTGTAGGAGACAGGCAAGGAGAAGGTAAAGGCAGAACCTCCCGGGTTTGGGAAGAATTGGGTGGTAACGTTTAGGCTCGCTATGTTGGAGGCAGAGGTTGGAGAACAAGACAGCAAAGTTTGTAGCTCACCCCAGCTACCTTGGTGGCGATTGGGGGCTTCAGGACACAGAAATCCCCGAAAGGATGAAAGAATCGACGAAAAGAAGAGAAGGCAGGGTCAGGGAGTTTTTTGGTCCAGACGATTCTGATTCTGCGTGGTCAGCGATTCCCTTCTGTGTTCTTCAGACAGTGGGTTTCCGGAATTCAACCAGCAGGTGACGGTGGCGAGCACCGGCCGGACTCTGAAGGGCTCAACTTTAGAGTTTCTTAGTAGATAGCTTTTGCAGTAGGCTAGAGAGTCCACGCCGGGTTCCGACGACCTGCTCAGAGGCCCGACCAGGCTTAGGGGCGCGGATCCCAACAGATGGAGGCGCAACTAATGGGAGCCGTTCTGTATGGCTGGAAAGAGACGATGCTCTCGCGGTCAGAGCTGAGTGTCCCAGGACTCTGTTGGCAACAGCCGTAGTCTCGGGACTTGGGCGTTACCGCCTTCCTGGGTTGTCGCAGCAGCAACTGAGGCCCTCTCCACCCCCCAGGAAGTGGTCTAAGGGCAGCGGTCAGTGGCCCTTTAAGTGACAGCCCCGCCCCCTAGCGCCCCGCCCTCCGCCCCCGTGCGCCGGCCGGGCTCTGCTGGGGGTGGGAGCTGGGACTCGCCGACGGGAGAGACGGGGCGGACGGGCTGGACCTGCCGACGCGAGCGAGGGAGGGATGATTCACAGGCTTCTCTACGGATGTGGCGGATGTGGCGGCGAAGATCCCGCGTTCCCTGCAGGTGTGCATGACCTCACTAGTACAACTTGGTCGGAGCAAGATCTCCAGTCCTTCCATTCTGAGAAAACCCAGGCCTCGGGGTTGGATCCCGGTTGGGAACTCCCGAGGGGGCGGGTGCTGAGCCATCGCATTCCAGGGATGCCTTTGGGCCACCCCGGCGTGCCCAGGTCCCCACGCCGGTGGCTTCCCTTGTCGTCTGAACTCGAAAGCCCCTCTCGCTAAGCCGCTGGGTGCTAGGCAGCCTCCTCCTTTATTAGAGAAATCCTAACCTCTTGAGAAGCTACGGCGCCCATTACCCAGCCGGGCCCCCAAGTGGCGCCCAGTAAATGAACTGAGAAAGAAGAAGCAGACTTTATTAGAGAACAAGTCATGGCAAAGTGGGGAGGGGCCTGGAATCAAAGAGTATGGAGGTCGTGACTGCGACGGCTGAGTTTCTCGGGGTCGTCCGACGCCATGAGAGAGAAGTCTCGGAATATGTCGAGATACGTCTCGTCTCCTGAGGAGGACAGAGGAAAGGCTGGGAGGCGGGACAACTGGGCTACTACGACAAGAAGGCAGTAGGGGTGGGGTCTGGCAGAGCAAGCTTTTGAAGTGTGGGTGCATTGTAAGCGCAGCCCAGGCGCCTATTCCTTCCTTTGTTCTGAGGGTCAGGCGCCTTCGATAGCCCAAACCGTGTGTGTTGAATAAACAATGGCAGTAATGCAGTTGGGCACTAGGGGACAGGTAAGCCAGGGCCGGGCCTCCGGGTAAATGAGTGGTTGCTTTACCTGCCTGGCCCTGGGCCGCTTCAGCCTCCCTCATCTTTGCCAGTCGCAACCTGAAGGGTGGGAATTAAGGAATAAACTACTTCGCACTCCCTAACTTCCCACCCTTTAAGCTACATCACTCGGTGAAAATGCCTTTCTGGTGACCAGTGCTTTAAAAAGCAAACACATGAACTTTTCTGCAATGCTGATCTACGAATAATGGCTCCCAAGATAAACTCCCATTATTTCATCCTGTCCCACACCCCACCACCCACAGAGGGCTTTACCCCACCCCTCCCCAGACCTCACCTTCCAGGTCTGGTTTTGGCATAAATCCTACCCCAAAGATGAACGGACTGTCCAAGTACTAGCCCGACCCTCTGGCATTCTCACAAGGTTACGATGTCAGCGTTGGCAGTTTCCATTGCAATAGTCAGAGGGTCCCTGCCTTCTGTGTCTCGAGCCCCCAGATCTGCACCCCGTTTCAGGAACAGGCAAGCAAGCCTGAAAAGAAAGTCAAATTCAGCTACAGCCTTCCCGCAAAAATCTCCTCCCGATGTTGGCATTTCCCCAGCTCCCTACCCTGTGTGGCCAAGAATGGTGGCATGGTGAAGTGGGCCCCGGCCAGCATTGTCTGCCTGGTTGACGTTTGCCCCATTCTGGAGGAGAAACTCACAGGCCAAAAGAGAATTCTGCATGGAGAGATCAAGAAGGGAATGACATATTTAGAGGTGGATTTCTAGATGTTTTAGGGTGGCGTAACTAAGATGATAGAAGTGTGGAGTGTGGTATTCAAAGTACACCTAGGTGTCAGGCTTGACTGTCACCTCCTACATGCTCATGTATTAAATCTACTCTGCATTATGATGAGGCATGCCACTCCTCTTTATAAAGATTTTTTTTTAATTTTGACTGGGCGGTGGTGGCACACGCCTTTAATCCCAGCACTCTGGAGGCAGAGGCAGGCAGATCTCTGTGAGTTCGAGGCCAAAGTGGTCTACAAGAGCTAGTTCCAGGACAGGTTCCAAAGCCACAGAGATACCCTGCCTTGGGAAAAAAAAAAGATTTTTTTTTAAATTTTATGTGTGTAGGTGTTTTGCCTGCATGTGTGTGTGCCCCATGCAGTGAGTGA